TTAATTAAACAAATAGATTAAGCAAATCGAATACTAATACAGCATGGACCTTTAGTTTCATATGCTCCATGACAATCCAGGAATGCTAGACATTTTGATTGCACGAACCATAATTGATTGCGTTCGCTTTAATTAACAGATTACTCTAAAGCTAGAAGCTATAAGTAAATAGGTCCAACGTAGCTGTAAAATGATAATCTTCTATATAAATAAAAGTTATATTTGTATGTTTGTATTCTATCCGTTGTTAAACCATTGATCTGATTGTGATGAAACTCTGATGGGATATTCTGAATATGCCTGCGTAGGTTCCTGGCGTAAAAAAAGGACTTGTCTTTGGACGTTTGTCTTTTATGCGTTCCTAAATCATCCTAGACGCACTCGAGCGAAGCGAGAGTAAGTCACTAGTTGTTTAATCTATACTAATATTATAAAGAGGTAAAGTTTGTGAGTTTGTGACGTTGAAGGTGGTAATCTCTAGGTCTACTGAACCGATTTAGATGAAATTTGGTAAGAAGATAATTTGAGACCCTGGAAGGACATAGGGTAGTTATTATTTCGGAAATAATTCCTCAAAGGGATGAAAATGGGGATGACAGTTCTTATGGGGAAGCAATTTAGGGACGAACCCGAGCGAAGCGAGGGTGAGTCGCTAGTAAATATGTAAAAGCAGCGCTACGCAGCTACGAACAAAGGTGCCTATAATATTTATAAAATTAATGTTTATCATAAAAAGGGTAGTAAACATATTTTAAATTCTAATTTGCTTCCTTTAAAAGGATGAAAGCTACAGCCTAATTAAAGCCTTTCACACCGTCACATGTAACGTAAACATTGTCACGTGTACATAATTATTAGGTTACCTTTATGAAAAATTATGAATCCGTTGTGGAACGCAAGTTGTATGATTAAATTCTGAAGTTGATTCAGTAATTAGCGGTACATCGCATTTCACTCAAGCTCGCACTGTATCCAGATTTACTCTAGAGGGCAGTTAATAACTTTTAGGGGAAAAATCCTTTTTTGTCACCTGCTTGGTCCTAATTTTGTGAAACTTCATTTAATGGTAATTTCAAAGTTTTCTTTGGATATTTAAAATAAATACAGAATTAAATTTTAAAAATAAAGTATTTGTATAAATTTTACTTTAATGCGATGCGAGTGATTTTGGGTTGATCCTTTGTTACTATTTCTATTAATAGATGGCGTTAATAATTAAAATAATTTTATTGGATAATATCAATTTATAAATATTTGTCACGTGGTCTATTTTTCGAATGACAAATTAAAGTCCTTTAAATAAATGGCGTAATTACTAGCAGATCTAAAGAAACAGCGTTAAGATTAATACGAACGCGTATAGTAATTAGTGAATGTCTCATAGCTACGCTTGTCTTCCTCTGTGGAGTCTGGACTGGAGAGTGCTTTATATATAAAAGTCTTATTTAAGTTATTATTTTTAATTTAAAATACATTTTAATATTTCGTACAAGTATAAATGTTGACTGTATTTTTTAATCGCAAAATTTATATTAATCGAATTTCCGCAGGAAACGATTTTTTTAATTTTAAAGTGAAACACATTAACAAAATATATAGTAATCATTACGTATAATTTATAGTTCAAGTCATAAAATATCACAAATCTAGTTTATTTTTTGCATGATATATTATCGCTTTATTAATAACTGCCTCATTATCACGCACAGCATATTTTAGTCGATTCTTCCGTCTTGTCTGTACATCGATACGTTTCAAATAAATCAAAAACACTTTATGCTCACAATAGCGCTAATTGACAAATAGTGGAAATGATAAATACAAGCGCTGAGAATTTCCCAAAATATCCCCTTTGATCGTCACTTGATTAACAGCTACCGACTGTTGGACGCGAAATGGCATTAATATTCTTTTTAATTCGGTCTCCTCTCTATGAGACACAGAAGGTGGTCGTAGTAGAAATGACGTCAACCATTTTTTAAAAGAAACTATAATAATCAATATAATATCCACAGTAGGTATCTATTAATTTAAAAGACTTTATGACATATAAAAACGAATAAAACTAAATAAAAGCACCCAAATGTAGCTATTTTTTCGAGGTTTTATTTTTACTTTGGCTCCCGACGTTTTGAATGAATCTAAGCAAGTTTTAAAATCACCTAAATAGGTATACAAATTATATTGTGAGGTGATTGTAAGAGATTTACACCACATCTAAATGTCTTAGTTTTGTTTTAGAGTCAATTTTAGTTTGATTTATAAAATATTAGCCCTTCATCATGTCCAGTCCATGTTGCTTTCGCGGTCACAGCGAAATAGCCTAGCATAATTTTTCAATTAGAACTTTATACGACGCTTTCGATTATCATACGCCGGTGGCCATCGAACATTAATCCTATGTCGGACGCGACATCTATTTTGTGATGTTAACACTTCATTTGATGATCCTCATTAAAGTCAATGTGTTTTTTTTTGTTCTAATAAATGTATACCATTTATCTTATATATACATAAGCGCGCGTCTATAATTTTAATTGTATTTTTCATTAAAAATAATTACAATATTATTGTATTTTAAATATTTCCTGTTAAAGTTTTAAAGCGCAGTTGTCTTAAAGATTTTTAGGTGATATCTAATAATTACTGTAATAAAAAAATGCAAGAAGTAATTATCTCTAAAAACGTCAAGATTAGAATTCGTTTCCAAAAACTAATATAATAAGGAAGCTCTATTAATAATAAATTTATACAATAATATACTTAAGCTTTAAGTGTATAAGCACTATAATACCTTAATGCTGAATAGGTCAGAGCGTATCAAAAGGGCATGAGAACGTTTCGCTCTACGTCTGACTCAGAACCAGTCGTGAAATAAATCAAAGCGGCATACTCAGTTATCAAATTATCACAAGCACGTGATACTTAATTTCCTCGTCGGTCAGTTTAAAGACATGTTCCTTGAACTTCTCGCTCTGAGATTTTATCTTTGAAACTCGTAATTGCAGACTAGAAATATTAGCTCTTACGTTACCTACTGATTAAAAAGTAGATTAGGATCCTACTTACTAAAACTTTATGGTTCTTATTAACTATTTTACGAAATATACCTATGTTTATGGTAAATATAATTATTTATATGAAAATGTCGTGATACTCCATACAAATACATCATTGCTATAGCAACTACATACACTCGTAGCTATAATTGTGGGGGTACCTACTTGTTGGGTAAAATCTACATATACATATAAATGTACTTAGCCTATACATTTAATTCATTTATAGGTAATATTTTATAAAATCATTTACATTTGAATAGAAATTTAATATATCATATGTAAATATTTCTTAATTACTATCAAAGCTATGTAAATATTTCCGTTTAAATAAGAGAAAATGAATTATTTATAACTTATTCATTAATATAGCGTTGCCCCATCCAATATATCTTAATGTCGAAGTTTTTAATGAATCAAGAGATTTTTAAATGTGTAGAGAGTGCTAGTGGTAGGAATGTAAATGAAAATTGAAAATTAAAAAATGCGAGGGTCGCCCTGCGTGGGGTGTTGTGAAATCGTAAATTTAAATTGTCCATGCCTCACCATGCAAATTTACCGAATAGACATACCTTTCAATTGTATCTTAGTACTTTGAAACATTGCATGTTCGAGGGGAACGTATAATTTCTATTAGTTTTAGTACCATGAGTAGTATTTCTTGGAATGCAAAGGCGATGAAATTTCATTTACTTATAGCACATTGCTAAAAAATTAAATAAGAATTGTGTTTGACATGTAGATTACTTCACAGGGATCATGTATTTTCATTTAAATTATTCATGCAGTAACTAAATACCAAATAGCTTCTGTAAAGAACATATTGTCTTGAGAAATGCCGCCATCATTAACTGTTGCTAATGAAGCTTGAGCTTTCGGGTTTTAAATAACTGAGTGAACCTTTAGGGGCGGTAACATTGTCGAGTACCTATGTGTCGTACAAATTTTTTACTTCATACATAGTTTAAACAAACCATGCAAAGTATACTAAAGTGTAACTTTAGAAGGACGTGCTGAATTTCTTTTCAGTAGCTCACGAGTCGCGAACGCTCGTAAACACGGCTATCTGCAATCACGTTTCTCATAGCACATAGATGTTATCTAAAACTGTATTTTTTCTTATACTGCTCTATTATAATATTTTTATTAGCTTTGTTACTTGGTAAATTCTAGTAGCTCTCTTATTAAGTACATCATAAATTTCATACTTAAGAACCAGTAGTACAAGATTACACGATAACACGGAGGTTTCGATGACACTTGCCCCTCAACACAAATTAACGTCAGTATAATGTTATGTCGTCAGGCAGCGGTGCGACTGTCAGTCAACTGCTGCGAAATGTCGAGGATATGATGGCGGGTCAGCCACGTGTCGAACGAAACGTGACACTATTTCATATTACTGTTTCATTTTTGAGCAACTGTCAGTTTTCGCTTGACAAAACCCGACTACATACACTACATACTTTATAATGGGCTTCTTAATTATCCGTGATGTAGGGGACCCGTATTGCAGCCAGGTTTACTCTAAACAAATATGTTTTGATGACTGCATGTGTGTCCTTCGTGGTAAGCAGACCAGTTTGTAGCGAACGACTTTAAGTTTTTAAAGATTAGGCAAAAAAATCTATTTGCATTCTTGCCAATAACAACAAAGATACGATCAATAGCCAACTTATTTCCCATACCAATTAAAAATAAATTATTTATAGCAATACTAAGCGCATTAACCTGTTCTTTTCAGATTCGCCGAGATTCTGATGAGGATACACCGTCCGCTGGTACATCGTGAACCAACATCAGTGGAATTATTCACCGCTGTGTAGTGAATGGAATCCAAAGTGCTTGTGTAGTGACTGATAACGTGATAGTGTCGGCCAAATCGGCCGAAAACCTGCGACGGAAGATACGGACGCGAGCCACGCGGGCTGTGCGCCCGCGATGAGCGCCAACAACTGCGACAGCATGACATATTTCTCTAACGCTTATATGCCAGATATGAGGAACGGTGGAGGACATGACCATCAACAAGCACACGCGCACTATGGCGCGGTGCCGCAACAGGGACACGAGATGGAAGGATGCGACCAGCAGCTGAGGCCAGCACAGCATCATTACCCCGCCCAGCCAGCGCCTGGTATGCCATATCCAAGGTTCCCACCCTACGATAGGTTGGGTTACTACCAACAAATGGAACAAAATGGCTATCGGCCGGATAGTCCATCTCAAATGGGACACATGGGCCCCAAAACAGATGGCTACGGTCCTAACGGTCACCAGCCTCCCACTCCGGCGGTTTATACGTCGTGCAAGCTACAGGCAGCAGCGGCGACGGCAGGTGGTGTACCTGGCAGCCCTCCCTTGGAACAGGCACAACAAATGCCTCATCACATGCACCCCCAGCAACACATGGCCCAACATGGGATGCCGCCCCACCAGCAACACCTAATGTACCCTGTGGACGACATGCAGCATCAGACGCAGATGCCCCCCATGCATCAGCAGTCTATGCACGCGCAGCAGGCACCTCCTCAGCAACCTCCGCCAAACACCAATGCGTCGCTGCCCAGTCCACTCTATCCTTGGATGCGAAGTCAATTTGGTAAGTTATAATAATATTTTATTCCTAATATTTATACAATTTTTTTTTTATTCAGTCTCAATATAATTAAAAGTTTTTTTTATTAAGCATGTAAAAGTAAAAGTTAACAAATTTGCACAATACAGAACAGGTAGCCTAAAAGTAAGCGTGAAAAGATCTTGCAAATTCATTTACGCTCCACGTGCGCATTGATGACGAACAAAAGTGCCAAAAACAATGCCGTCCACTCTAATCCCGCGTTATTTATGGGCCGAACAAGCATTCAAAAGGAATTTCACTTTTCATAAAATTTACAACTTCCAACACAAAGGCGCTTACCTTCTGTTTTGATGACGCCGATCGCGAACAATGCGGTTAGGAGTTGCGCTACCGTCTCCTACTGTTTTTGAAAATGTCTAACATTTAATTTATGACCAAGTCGTTGATTTTATGTCTCTATTGTAATTGGTAATATCATTGAAAGTACTCCACTCTAATGCAGTACAGTTTTAGTTGGGTCTGTACATTCGCGCGGCGTAGCTACTTATGCTAATGGCATTATGTTTAACAATCCTTGAAGCTCGCGAGTGATATTTAAGTGCAGTAGTGATGTATATAATATAATAAGCATAATGCTAGTTATATCTTATGTGGTACAAGCTGTAATTCAAAATATCAGCCATTGCTGACAAAATGAACAATGTGTAGATAATATGAAAACAATGAAAGGTATATTTATTGGAAACAGGTATGAAATCTTATTAATTTATTCTTAATAATTTTGTCAAAATCTGTTTTGTACAAAAACCTTAATATTATTATTAACATAGGCTTTATTGTATCTACCTTACAATAAATTACGCATTTTAATTAAAATATAATAGGTAAATATGTAGGTATGTAAAGTACAATACATCAAGTATTAAAAAAAATGGAAAACTTAGAAAATTGACAATATCATGGTCAAATGTAAATTATAGTCAAATAAGTGCAAAATTAGAAGCTCGAACTTGCACATAAAGCCTTTCTTCATTACTTCCTGTGACCAAAAACCAAACAATAAACGTGTGGCAAGTACCTACCTACCATTTACAACAAAATTGATGCATTTACAATGATAATTAAAAATATTTTTTTCATACGATATCACAGGAGAGGCCATTGTTAATGTATTTGCATAATGAATTGAGTTTTCTAGTCTTTATTCATTACTACTATTATATCAACGCCACATTCAATGTTTTATAATTAATAATTTCGTATTATTTCGTGTTATTTAGTAGGCGGTATAGATATCTATCCAAGCATAGACGTTACATATTTTTTAAATGCATAAATAGTTGGATTAAAAAATAATACATTCCTTTATAAAAATACGATTTTGCTGACTCTACATTTTATATGAGCGGCGTAGGAAGCAGTTCATATTTAATTCAATTCTTGTGATTATATGATACTACGGTAACAACATCATAGCACTTATCTACTTGGATTCTTTACGAGATAAGCCGAGCCAATTTTGATCAACTCTCAGAACCTCCTAAGCTTCAGTAAATTAATCAGGAAAAGCCAGCATTTGATGTGACAGAGATTTATTATTATTATAGGTTTTCAGAATATTCATAAGAGTAGCATTTAAACGCTCTATTTATTATTTAGGGTACATTCAATGTGTATATTTTATTTTGTATGAAAATTATGAATATAATTATATTAAAAATATACAAGTAAACAAAAATAAATCTATCCCACGGGTACCGTACATTTTATCGGAATAAAAAGTCTATGAGCTATTCCAAACTATAATCTATTTCTGTGCCAAATTTCATCCAGATCCGTTTAGCCGTTCTGGCGTGATTGAGTAACTAACATCCAAACATCCATCTAAACTTTCACATTTATAATATTAGTTAGATTATAAAAAGTGTAGGTATCTAAGGATAAACATTTATTTGTGAAAATATTTTATTCTTTATCTATAGTTTATCAACCAAATACTAATTGAGTAATGAATGAAAGGATAAAATCCTAACAAGAATACTAAAAAGGTTTACGAGAACAGATAATAATGAATATAAAAAGGGTACTTGAAAACCAATAGTTAAGGACCAGACGACAATGTAGTTACAGCATGAAAAATTTAACCACGAGTACAGTAGCAAACACACTTAAAACTAAGTTTAAACTTCTCTCTTATCTACTTGAGACGGTTTCATCATTAATTATCTTCGAAATTCGGCTACCATTTGAGAAAAATGAGCCAATGAGAACACGTCTTATGTTATTTTAAAATAGAACACTTCGGTCGAGGCAGACGAGTCGTTAATCATGAGAAGCAGCATCTTACACCTACTCACTAATATGTAATAATATGCGTCTATCCACCGATTTATGTACATCGTATGTAGAGTTAAAGGATATACTGTGACCAATTAAGTGTTTTAAAGTTTGTTTGTGTGTGGTTTTAAGTAAGGACTAGAAAACTTTGATTTTTGAATTGATGATTGTACTTATACAAAATTTTTTTTTAATTATTTCAATTAATTATATGTATAGTAATGTACAAACAAAAACATTTTCATTACTAATGTAGGTACTATTTTTCACAATAATACACTTTATCAGCTAAATAAAAATTGTTATAAATTCATAATGCAAACATTTAAAATTATCCTTCATTATATATTCGATGTAAAGCGTTATTGACTAACGGCTCAGAAAGATAGACTTACCTAGCCGAGAGAAGGTAGACCGCGATAAGTCGGCGCAAATCGAGCTGGAAATGGAAATATAATGGAAATCCACTCCCGACCCCCTCGACTCCCCGGGAGGCTCCCTCGCATACAATGCGGAATGGACGACTTGTTACATTTCATTGTTCAGTTATCAGCCCGAAGGCTTTTGTGAAGGCCCGATGATTGAATACGAGAATTTGTTTTGGTGCCTGCTTCTGATTTTCCACGTTTGAAGATGAAAGCTCGAATCGTTTGATATTAACAAAATGAATGCTAAAAAACAACAGTTTCAATTTGCTACGCAATCAAAGGCAACTTTAAAATAATTGCATAATTAATTAAATTTAAATATAACTCTAACACAAGTATATACGTACATTAAAAATGTATTTGTACTTGAAAAATTACTTATAAATTACACTGTACGAGATACATAAATCTTATAAATTGATCGGTTTAAGGAAAATAGAATAAGTACATTCGTTTTCCGCGTTTCCGAAACCGAATCATTTACCTAGTCCCAGCTGATAAGAGCCATTGTGGATTTCATTCACCATTGATCAATAGCGATTGTCGCTCTAACAATGACGACGAATGCCTCTTCAGATTGAACTTCCTATACTGAATATTGTGAGCTTCAAAGCTTTGTAGACCTGATTTTAGGAGTAGCTGTAAATGCAGGCCTTTGTCAGTGCTATAAATAAAAGTTTATTTTATTTTTCGACGCTAACTTGAATTCATTTTTAATATTTTACATTAATTTACGAGTTTTAGCACGTTGAGGTAAAAGCATATATTTGATTATGTATTTTTATTATATAGGTTACATTTAGCTTTTCTTAAAATAACGATAACTATACACATCTTCCCCAACTCTGAAATATTTTTTACTAATCTATTTATTACTAAATGTACGAAGCGATTCTTTTAAAACTTCCCCTTGTTTACATGTGCTATTATTTGCATAAATATTTTTTTATCAGAGGGGTAGTGACTGTAAAAATACGATTCTAATTTCGTTTGCCGCAAGCTTTCCGGTACCGGTAGTGCCTGAGACGTTGAAGGATGGCTCACGCTCTCGTTGTATTATTTTTAAGTTCAAAGACGCCGAAACAGGATACAGAAAATAGAAATACGGGTTCAATCTATTCCAAAATATAATTAGGTTTTATTAATAAAGGTGTTTTGTTGGTTAAAGAAAATAAAATAATAATATGATCATTTTGATTGAACACAAATACAATAAAATGAAGATAGCTCTTCTTAATTTATTTTAAGTGTTTATTTATTATGTATTATTTAAATAAGATTTAAAGTGACTAAAAATAAAATAAAAAATTTCAACCTGTTATACCTACCTGTAAGAAGTTTTAAGAGAGGATATGAACGAAGCTCATAAAGCTTTAACATAGTTTAACATATTAGTGTTGCACTTTTTCAATAGATGGCGTTATTGCTTAAACTTGATTAAATCAGGTAACAATTTCAAAGATGAAATTATAATATTTTTTACTCTATTATTTTTTATCTTATTAAAATATTTAACCACACATGTATTTCAGAAAGAAAAGGAGCAAAAAATTGGGATCATATTAAAAAATCATTATATCTTATAATTACACGCCCACAAAAAGAGACACCAATCCCGTTAATTTATTTCCAACGGTGTCAGACCCACACATACGTACATACCAGATAGAAGGGTGTATTCTACACACTACCTACAGACAAAACCGAATAGAACGTTAGTGTTGCTGTATGAAAGTTTCTTTTATTATTTAATTAATATAAAACAAATTATTATTAACTACTAACTAGTTTAAATAAAAAAATGATTGTTAGTGCTTAAGTTAGATATTTCTAGTAGGTATATTATTATTAATAAATATTTACATAAATTACATCTGTTTTTTTTTGCATTTAATAATGCCACTAAATTAAATCATAATCCTTTAAATAGATTTTGCGTTGGATATATGTAATGTTTAAGTCATGGAAACCGTTTAAGAACCGGAACCGACTTAGCCGGGAAAGACAGCCACATCTTTGGATTAATATTAGCAAATATGATTACAGACATAGATAATTAAAAAAAAAATTAGACATACCATGGACATTTACTACAAAAGTGACATATAATTCTAAATTAACGAACTAAGAGAAAGTAAGCAAAAGTTTTGGACATTTCTAAATCAAAACACATTCCTACTCGTAAGCACTTTCTCGTTACTTAGCATGTTGACCGGAACGTCAAGTACATTCTTTGAGAAATTGACTAAACTGCTA